CCTAACCTTCAATTTCGTAAGTTCTCAAGGTGGACTGATGCGAGTGCAGCTCGTGTTCGTGTGCTGCTAACGCAAGCGGAGAGAGCAGCGAATTCTAAAAGAATAAAAGAGCGCAATACAAATATTGTGATTATGCGCGGCCCTCTCGTCTCTCACGGGCCGAGGCGTAAAGACAAGCTCAAACATACCAGCCGAGTGAAGTTCTTCTCCTCGTACCTCGTACCTCCTCGTCCACTCCGCGCCGACGCATCGCGATGTTCATGCCCTCGAAGGATTGAGACCGAAGCCCCCCTTTTCATCCAATCGTTCGGACTCTTCTTTGCCTCTGATTCCTCGCAAAGTTCATCTCGTACTCTTCTCAAGGGGCGGTGCTTCGATGTGTCGTCGTTTTTGGCGTTGATTATGAGTTCGTTCGTCCCCCACACGACAGACAGCGCATGACAGTCGCTCCATCACCGGTACAAGGCGCCTGATCGATAGCGCTCAACTTTTTACTTTTTGATCTACCCTATAACCCTTTTCCACACACTCCGGATATATTTGATATCTAGTTCTATGCAGCCAACTAAGCTTTCTCCTTGTATCTCCATATATAGTAAGCATCAGTCATTATCATTTTCATTCATCTATATTCCCTGGCTTGTCAGATTTACTGTTTATTTTCTATAGGTTTATCACCTACTCTCGATTCTCAAGTTGAAATTACTCAACATCTGCACAACGTATATAATCATCTTCTTTTTCTCAGTCCTTAATGGCTATACTTGATTTCTCATTGTTAATTACTGGCAGCTGTTGGAGGATCAAATTCTTTGACATAATCTTCTCATATTAATTTATATGTTTGAATCTAAATTTCTTTTTAGCTACCTGTGCACTCTAAAATGAATTGGCTAACCTCTCAAAACTACGATATTCTTTGTGATAATCCTATTATCAATATTTACTATCTCAAAGAAAAACGTCTATTCAAATGTCCTCTCCATAAATCCTTTGCACAAAGACACAACCTCTTGATGAAGTCCTACCGTGAATTTCCGCAAATTTTCGTCTCATAGGCTATTTTACCTCGTCTAGCGTATAAAACCTCTCTAAATTAAGAACAGTTGCAAATTGTGCCGGTTTTCCGTCAAAGAAGCGATAAGCGCGGTGTTTTTCGAGGCGAAACCACTTGATGTACATGCCGTTTGTCACCCGCATTGCCACATTGCAAACGTTTATGTTTGCCGATCTCTCAATTTTTTTTCTCTCTAGCGGTTCGCGTTATGAGTTGCCGACGCGCTTTTGCTTGTTCTAGCACACACGCACACTCGTATACGCAGTTGCCGGGTGCTCTCCAATGTGCTCGATCATTTGTGCGTCGTTATTTCCGCGTGTTCTTCTGCGTAGAGCCGTAGGACTGCGTTTCGTTTCGTTTCAGTCAATGTGTGATGGCGTCGACGTTGGGTCTGGTGTCGCGACGTAAGCAAGCGAAGCCACAACGCCACCAGGATCTGCCGAAGGGTCAGTCGAGCTGCAGTCTTTCGCCGAGTGCGCTGCCCTGTTGCGTCTCATCATAATGTACATAACTTGCATTAGACAAAGGCCGACCGACCTTGGGAGCTAGTTAACAACTTTACGCTTCAAATCGCTCGCGCTACCCCTGCGCGAGAACATTCAAAGGACATTTCAAGGCGCCGCTGCCCCGACCACGTTGCGAATATTACCGTAATCACGCCGACCACTCGTCATGCGCATATTATTGTCGGCCCCGCCCCGTGTGGCTTATCCAATCATACACAACGCCTCGGGCATCGCAATGCCAGCATAGATCGAGAAAGTGTGTGTGAGCGACGGGAGACGCAGACACGGCGCCGCGCATCTGCGAATTAATCTGATTTTCTGATTGAAACAATGTCATGATGCTTGCTAAGTAATGTCGCATTCGGGCAACTATAGCGGGGAATGCACTGCCACGGCGTGTTTACACTGCAGAATTTTGGTTTAGCTCTGTTTTGACACTGGATGACGTAATTAGGAGGCCAAACCTATAATGTGAGGGACTAGTTATGCTAAATCGAATTCTTTTGCTTGTTTTGTTGAATTTCATCACTATCATACATCCATTGAGAGGCAATAATATCCTGGCTTGAATGTCCAAGTTTTTCGAAACTGACGTAAAAAGCATTGTTAAAAAGCATTGTAAGATGAGTTAAAAATTGCTGGATCCTTTTACTTGTTCCAGTCTCTATCTAGTGATTTGCAGGGATTCAAGCTCTTCTTAACTCATTTGCAAACCGCTGTATTATTTCAGAATTTCACATTTGCTTTGATTCTAAACACAAGCCAGCAGTCTCAAAATCTAAGTGCTTTTCTTTTACTCTTTGCCCTTCTCATCTCATAAATATCGCACTTTCACGTCATGTTGTCAGCGTCTCTTTTTCTTCGTTTATCTTGATGTTTACCTAAGAGTCGGATGCTATTTCTTTATCGGATAAGCCGAAGCAAGCCCCTTAGCGATCGTTTATTTTCTTATAATATCGAATTGCAAAAAGTACAGCTTTGTTCCTCAATATATGTAGGGATTAATGTCTTTGTATCTGTGGACTCGCAACCATCTGTCAACTAAAATCGGTGATGAGGCGTGCACGTGAGTGCCTGGGTGTTTACTCGTGTCGTGTCTCGCGTTATGAGTTGTTGCACATCTAGCGCGAACCGGTGGCAATGCCATTGTCGACATGTGTTTCAGTTATAAATTCGAAGATGTCTATCTACAACGACCGACCCGAAAATGGCATGTTTCAACGGACGGGCGGCGAAATCGCGATGACACATCGTGTCAGTTTTTTCGCACGCCCATGGTCTCTGCTTCGGTTCGAACCACAGCACGCCGTCGTCGCTGCTCCTCAAAAAGCCACCTCGGAGTGACCTCGATGAAGTGCTCGCCCTGTTGCGAATGCGTAATCGTGGCTAATCGCGCGACTCTGTTGCAAATCGTTGCTGAGGTCGCCCCGAGTGCTAGTGAATCGATGGCGGAAATTGTCGTGTGATG